GGGGGGGGGTCGCACGTTCTTGCTGTGGTGTGAGCAGAGGACACCGCTGCAGTCATGAGCCAGGACCAGCAGCGGGGCACCGATCATGCTCGGTTGTTTGGGCCTGTCAGATATCAACTAAGTTTCTTACTTTGGCTGTCACTCCCAAGACGACTGAATTTCATGAGTTTCCTGTGATATGAGAGAGCACAGGACTAGATGTATAGGAATTATTCTTAGGCAAATAGTTAAGTTCAATGGACTCATGATAGTGGGTGAGGGCACCAGGGTAGTTCTGAGCAGGGTGTGACTAGTCAGGTTTGCATTTTATGAAACGTTCTGTGATAATTCCAAGATGGTCAGTTGATCTAATGAAGTTCTAGGTCAAATGGATATTTATTGCCCTTTAATAGAAAATGCAATTAATTTGGTAACTTGAACAATAGCCATTTGGCTTGAATATACAATGTATGAAATGACTTTGTTTTACTTCGTTTACGAAAAGGTTTTAGAAAAGGGACTCTGGCGTTTTCTGCACACCTCCATCCTCTGACTAGAAAATACAAAGAAAAGTTTTGATATGTTGTTATTTGAATTCTGCTACAACTCCACATTTAAGTTTCTTGTATTTTAAAAATATATTTAAATACAGGATGGCAGCAAAAACACAAATACCTTATAGCTAGCCGACTACAGGAGATGATCATAAATTCCAAAAGACACACATCTAAATTAGTATTAACTTTTAGTTGTCTCTGGCACAGGAAATGTATATTGGCACCCATATAACTTATTTCTACATTTCCCATATCAGAAGAGTATTTTTGGGTGGAAAGGAGACAGCCCTGGGAGGACAGCTGGACTCTGTTCAACAGTTGTTGGGCAAGTCATTCAATCCCTTTTGTGATTGGTTTGAAAAATGGGGGAATATGCCTTTTTAACAAAGGTTGTTATAAGCCTTAAGTTTGGTACTGTATGTGAAGGTGCTCTGAAAGTCACCGTAACCATGTGACAATTTCAAGGTGAAACAGTAGAAGAGTAGAGGCTTCTGGTTCAAAGGACCCCCTACCCAGGGCCGTCCGACCCTCCTCAGGAAAAGACCACACAATGTGGGGAACAGACCAAACTCATGACCTCAGCCCAGGATCTTTTCTGTATTCTAGATATTCTCATTCTGAAATTCAAGCGACAATGGGTCTGCCTTTGGCTGTAGGGCAATCTAAATACAATAGTGCTATATTCGTGTTTGAAAGAAAAATCTGCCTTCACTTTGTGTGACTGCAGGATCTCCAGAGTCTAGTATGAAAGTCTGTCGCAAGTGTATTGGATGTTTCAGTTTGCCAGACCTGTCAGGATAAATTAATTACAGGATGTTGCAGACATGGCAGGGCTCCAGCAGCATCTTGCATAGTTTAATATAGCCTCATTTCCCCATTTCAATGTATTTGTGGTTAGATAAATCCTCAGAAATTTACAGCTGCTATAGACTAGTTTATTATGTACTCTGCCTGCACACATGATAAGTACAATAAGAATTTGATGTTCTTAAGGCGCATAGATTTTACTGACATTTCTTTACCACGATGGAAATATTTAGTTGCTAAAAGTAGCATCTGCAGATACTTCTGAACATGAACTTCTGTGTAACAGGCAGGGATGGTTAAAAACATTACCCCTGTTCAGCCATCTTCCATTTACTTTAAACTAAAGAACTGTAGCTCAGGAAAAAATTATATGAGCGTTGATATAAAATGGTCCCATGAACAAAAAGGAAAAAAAAAAATACTAATTCTCAGTTGAAAACACTGAAAAAAACGAACTGAAGCTACCATGCTTTTCTCCAGGGAAACTTCTTCCTTTGGTCTCATGACTGCTTTTTGCAAGCTTCAGTTCACTTTTGCTCCAGCAACAAGTTACTTTCCTCACCTGCTTGCTTTTATTTCCTTTTGGACTCTCCCCTCCCCCCCCTTATCTTTATTAAGCAAATCATCTCTATCCCAAGCAATTTTAAATGATTGACAATATATATTTACTTAGATAAATGTTGTAGAAACAAACCCATTCCTACATTTTCTGCTACCATATTCTTTCAAGTTCTTGAAAGTATCAGGTGATGATTTAAGAAGAAATAAACTACATTAAGTAAAAATCAGATTGTTCAGTACTTTTAGAAATGACACAAGTATATACAGTTGGACAATTCTGACAGAGTAATAGAGGTGGAACATGTATGGTTATAGATTTTTTTAGATTGAAAGCAGAAATTGAAATTGTAGATTCTCAGCAGCATAATCCTAACTTTTTGAGACAATAAATATGACCCATAATCAGGATGAATGTGAGGTATTAGAAGAGCAATTTCAGAAAACAGAGGGCTCACAACATATGCTTGATGTAGATTTGAAGAGAATCATTAGGAAAAAAGCATTCTTTGTGTTTACAAAACAAATGTTTTTATACCATTTAGTTCCTGCCTTAACTTAAAGTATTTCCCATTCACTTTAATAATTAGAGCAGAAATATATGATGAATGAAGTGCCTCATTACCAAGTTTGCTTTCCGGGTCTCTGCAGAGAGTAGCCGTCTGCTTTTGCCTACTGGTCCATTGTTAACCCTAAATGATGCTGACATTCAATTCTCCTGCAGATAATTGGGTCCATCCATAGATTGAGTTTGCCAGTCAACAGAGCCTTTTGATTGATGTGACTCTTGATGTTTTTATTATCTTACATGACTGGAATGGCGCCCTTTGCTGCTTCCTGAATAATATGCTATATACTGTATTAGTTTGATTCCACAGAATCTACTTCTTAAGAAAATGCAAGAATTACAGTATCCAGTAAAGATTTATCAAAATAATTATGGATAAACAAATTATCAGTTAAAACAAATTTTTTTTACTCATTTTATTTAGGTCACTGTTGGATTAAAGACATATTAGATGTTTCCAGTCCTTGAATGTGGCTGGAGGTACATCCAAATTCCTTCTTTAGTTACTCTTGCATGTGCTGGAGTGTCGACTACAATCATTTGCTGGCTCGCTCTACACAGCGACTGAGATCCAGCCCTCCAGAGACCTCCCAGTGGATGGGTCTGACAAATCTCCATTTACAGCTAGCACGGATGTCCACCGGCCATGTGTACTTGGACAAGTGCCTTAGGCTTCAAAGTCTTGGTTTCCTTATTGGCAGGGCAGGAAAGATTTTATCTACCTTGAGGGTTTGATGTGAAGAGTAAATGAGGTCAGGGACATAAATTGAAGATTTGTGGAATATTTTCTGTAGTTAAGTTCAATGAAAAGTTAGATTGTTGAAAAATGTTCCCATAATTTACTTAACAGAGATGGCCCTCAGATGGAAATAATTTAAATATTTATAAAAGTGTAAGGTCACATATTTTTGTTATAGTTTCTAGAATTTTCTAACCCTCTTAAAATATTTGTGAGTTAAATAAACGACTCAAGTGACGTCATATAAAGCTATAAAATGAGAAGTTATTTCCCAGATATAGTTTTGCTGAACTTCTCAAGGAGAAAATATCTACAGCTTATAAGGATAATTCATGTCGAGTATCTGCTTTTATGGAGAAAACCTTACACAGGATTTCAAAAGCACCCAAGTGTTAGCCATTTAAAAACATAGATTTTTGAAATGTGCATTTTACACATAACATTGCATTTATGATATAAAATATTTCATACTTTAAATTTTGAAAAAATGTGATCTTTATTCTGGTTTTGCAAATCCTACTCATTGATAGTTTTGATGCTGAATAATGTTTAATCATCAAGATAGAATAGAATCAATAACTGGGAAATAAATTTCCAAGAATGGTTTAAAATATTATTTAGATCTAGAAAAAGAGTGTCAAACTGTTACCTGTTTGGAGGAGAAAGGACTTCAAAAATAGGATAAAATTCAATAATTTCAGAATAAAGATTGAAAAAAAACTCAGCAAATTTTTACTAAGAAAATGTACGGCTGTAATAAATCTTCAAATGGATTCTTTTGTCTGATTCCTCTACTTGATTATAATTTGGGATTATTACCTAGAAGGCAGTTTGATGATCTCTGCCATCCTCTCTCATCTCCGAGGATGTGGTGAAGATGTTTTATTAATCTATTTGTGAACATAACCCAGTCTTGCTTTGTCAACAGGACTAAAAAGGACTGGGCTTTGAGTGAAACCAACTTTCCCTGGTGTTCGCCTCATTTGTTATTTTTGTCTTTGGTAGTTGCAATATAAAAATAATCCTTTATTTTTCTTATGAACACTGAGATCTCAGCATATGTTTAGCTCCCCCAACATATTATTTTACTTGTCATGATTTACAAATTTTTGCAACGTGGTGAAAATCCTTGTGATTAAAACCAAAATCAAAGAACCAACACATATTTCAAACCTATGAGCTGAAACCATAGGGAGACGCATATTTTTATTTCTTAATTATCAAGACATAAAGGCCAAGATTGCACAAGGGAGGCTCAAGCTGGCGGGCCCAGCCACACCTGAAGCACAGACAGGCGCCAGGACAGTGAGGACGCAGCGCTACCAGGACAGACTTCTGTGGGCCCCTCCCTCAAGCTCTGCACAGCGGGGCCTGTTTACCAACGTTCGTGCCGCCACATGTGCAGGATGAGAGCCAAGTATGTTTTTACTAGAAGATGTCTCACATCGGGTATACATCTGGGCAGAATTTACACCTCAATGCCCAGCTCTGTTTTTCTCACTTCTTATTTTAATGGAATCAATTGTCTAATTTGGTAAATAAGTTTTCTAATTTTATATTAGTTTTAAGCTTTTTGGGGTTAAATATTTCATTGACAGACTTATAATCACACAGAACTTTCCTATTATAACATCACATTTCAAAATATATAGTAACATAGTAATGACAACCATTATTCTGGAACTAAAAAATAAATAATGCAAAGTAATAACTTATAAACAAATATTAAGACTAAAATACGTATTAAACAATGTTAGTCTAGAAATCACTTATATGTTTAAATATGAAATACTTTTTTTTAAAGTAAAGAAATTGAAAACTGTTGCCAGTCTAACCAAAGAACATTTTAGTTTATAGGTGTCAAGCTACATACATGATTCATTAAAAAACCCCACAAATTTGTTCCCTTTTTAATGCCTTTCTTATGGTAATCATTTTGAATATACAATATTCTGAAACTGCTTATATTTTTAAATAAAGTTAAATTTGAAAAGCAGATACTTCATATTTTGAGCATAACATTACACATATAACCACATTAAAGATATAATAATATTAAATAATTACCTGATGAACTTCCTCACAACACAAACACTTTTTCTTCACATTTGCTGAGTAGCAATTATGGTTTTTACTGGTTTTGAACAGTAGTTATATAATTTTGAGGCAACTGCTAATAAATACAAGTACCAATACTTTGATCAACAGCAATCACACTGGTTTATAACAAGCTCAAAAGGCCACATTTATTTTTTCAAGCATTCCTTGCTTCTGATTTTTCTAGATTCTCTCATAAGGACAAGAACAGTAGATCCTTCCTTTCTTCCTTAATTTCTGAAAATTCTGAACTCTGAAGAGAAATTCCGTTTGGTTTAATTTGTCATTTTACTTCTCTGTATTTGGTTCTTTGTCTCTTCACTCTTCTGCAACTCTTTACTAGAGAAAAGCACACAAAATGTACTCAATAAACTCAATGTCTTTTGGCCACAATTAAATCTTGGCATGCCCAGGTACATGGCACAGGCAATAAAACACACTGCACAATGCACACACACATTACAACCACCAAAACATTATTTACCTGTCTTCCAGTTTGCCTTGTGAACATACTGTTAACATCTTTTAGTATCATAAACAGCTGCTTAAAGCCTGCTCCAGCATCAACAAGTTAATACACACAAAAAAGAAACACACTTCTCAAAACCTGACAGTGAGTACTCCAACTCCAGATAACTTCCAGGAACTAAGGGCAGGGAATCAGAATTTATGAAGTCCTTCATTCATTGGAAAAAATAAATTGTCATGGATCATGCTTTAGAGTCAGTGACTAGAAAACACGTAGACTTTTATTAAATAGCATTCTTTCATTTAGTCTATGGCTGTGTCTAGTTTTAAAAGTGGGTAAATTATTACATATTTTTTCAAATGAATCCAAAAAATACTGTGTGTCATTTTTGGTGGGCAAAGACAGTGATGGTTAACTATGCATCTAGATGCAGCTTTGAAATAAAACAAATTATACTATAAATGAGAGCCAAGAACCAATACACAGATGAAACAAGAAGTTGCTTCTTTAGAGACAACGCAGTAAGCACACTACATCTGAGGGTGACAAACTGGTGGGGTTGAACCTGAAATTTTTAATGCAATTATTCATACACTAGTGATGAACTGAAGTATCTGGACTTACACAAAAACGTCGTCTTTTCTCTAAACAGAAAGGGCTTAACACTTGGTTGCACTTAAAAAACAAATTGCAGCCCCAAAATGATGGCCTTCTGGTGAAGGTGGTGGTCAATTCCAACATAATGCCCAAAGCAATATGGCAAGAAAGGGCCTTCCTCGTGGCACAGGAGGGTTAGGGAACATCTGTGCTTTTAGGGACAATTCCAGTCTTAAGCAAATGATTGCACTATCGTTTCATATGAAAAACATTTACACAGGAGGGGAAAAATCCTGAGAGTCCCTGTTTCCTGATTTTAAATTTGTTAAACAGAGCTACCACAGATAAGCTGGTATTGTACAGAGAAGCCCCAAAATGTTTCAAGTGAAGCTCACAAAAGCAACTGAAGTCAAGTATAAAATGGTACAAATGTGGTGTGCCAAGGTACAATCTCAAAGGGGCAAAAAAAAAAAAAAATNGGTACAAATGTGGTGTGCCAAGGTACAATCTCAAAGGGGCAAAAAAAAAAAATGAGAGTCATTTTTGTCCCTGTGTGGATACAGGTAAAGTACATGAAACTTGCGACAAATTAAGAGTCTGATAAAAGTGGGAAAGTATAAAGGCTCAAGTGGATGCCAGACACAAGTCACCCAGAGACTTTACAAACATGTGCAAGGGGCACTGAGGAGGGTGCGAAGATCTCAGAGGACTAATAAGGCACAACAGAGGGAGAGGAAGTTTATGACAGTGGCAGGACAGAATCGAAAAGGGAAAGGGGGTGGGGGACAGCTGGGAACGAGTGAATCCTGCACGTGCAAAGTGTAGGGCAAGTTAAATTAATCAGGTGGAGACTGCACTGTGAGGTTAGTAAATCGAGAAGCCAGGAGGACCCTCAGGAGAGGGAACCCAGAGAGAAATTTAACTAGAAAAACTGAAGTAGGCAGTACAGATACCATCTTTAAGGGAAATGAATCAGACTAAGAAGAGGAAGGAAGACTGGGCAGAAGACAAGAAAGGCTGCCCATGGAGGGAGAAAGCGACGGAATCAAAGGAAAAGGAGAGGAGATGGCAAGTGTACACCCCTGACAACCAGGGAAAGCAAGGGTGGCATTTTATAGAGATGAGCGGTGACAGCACAGGGACTGAGGAGCTGAGAGACAGATGTGCTGCAAGAGGGAGGGGTGCCACCTAACTAAAGACAAAGGATGAATCCAGATCCCTTCTCCTCGGAGGTATCTCCCCCTAAAGTATCCCAGTAAGCTAATGGTGAAGAGTGACAAAGTCAGGGCCTTTTCAAGGGGAAAATCATGTGCCAAGAAAAAGAAAAATCTGCACAGCGAGATTTTGAACATGAATATGAAACCAGGTTAGTGTTTGGGTGTATGTTACATGTAAAAAATGAAGATTCATAAAAATACTGGGCTCTACCCCACAAGGAATTCAATGCAATAAATATTCCCTGAAGGTCTACTATGTGGCCAGACACCAGGCTAAGTACTGGGGAGGAAAAGAGGGAGCATGTTAGAGTCCCAGGCCACAAGCACTTACAGGTATCTAATCAGAGTTAGCAGACAAAGCACTGTGACCCTGAACTCCGAGCCAGAAGATCTAGTCCTAATTTAGGTGCTTTTTAGCTGTGACTCAGACCATGATTTCTTTACGTGTAGAAAAAACAGGCTATGAAAAATTTCTGAAATTACTTTTACTTTAAAATAAATGATCAAGTAGTACATATCAAATAGGTTGACTAGAAAAATGAGAAAATACACTACAACGAAAGAAAAAAGATCACAATTCCACCACTCAGAGATGACTGTTCTATCTTGATGTATATTATTCAATACCTTATGTATCTCCCTTATATAACTCTTATAATCATCATTTTACTTAAAAATCAAACATAAATATCTTTTCATGTCTTTGAAAATACTTCTGTAATGAATAATTGTCATACAATATTATTCTATTATATAAATGTTTCATAAATTAATCAACCCTTTATTCATAGAAATTGAATTTTTCCCTCTATTTCTATTTATTTATTTACTTAGTCATAAAATATTTATTGAGTTTGTGCGTAGCTGAGAAGCTGATATGGAAAAATTCCATATCATTTATTGGAAAGAGCTTTATTAGCTGTAGGTATAATAATAAATGTTAGGGGCCAAGAGGTTTTGGTATTTAGCCATTAACTGTCTGCGTGGCCTTGGTCAGGCTACTTCTATTTTTAAAAACACTGCTTGAAGGAGTATCCTTTTAACTGAATCTCTGCATGTATTTCTTGAATATTTTCCTACAGTAGATTCCTGGAAGTAGAACTGTCAGGTCAAAGGACATGAGCAATTTGAAAATTGAAAAAACAAAACAAAATACCCGCCACAAAGAATGGATCAATCTTATATTATCACAGTGTATCAATTTTGGTATTTTAAGTTTGAAACTCGTTGCCAATTTGTGAAGAAAAAAATTCCATATCATTTATTGTTTTAATTTCTATTACTCTGATCACTGGGAAGGGGCAGTTTCTCTATGTTCACTGCCATGAATATATATTTCTTAAAGAGTTTCTTTAAGGGTGTCCTGTGCACACCCTTTGCCAGTTTTTCTATTGGTGTCCTTCTCTTTGTTGATTTTTTAGACCTTTTTATATGTTAATGGTATTACATTAACTTTATCTGTCATGTATTTTATGAACTTCCCCATCTTAGGTTACTGCCTGTTTTTTCTTTCTGACACACGGGCACACTTCGTCTCATCGTGCTTCACCAACAAACTGAGGGTTTGTGGCCATCCTCGAGTGAGCAAGTCCATGGGCATCATGTCCCCAACGGGCTCAGATGATGGCCAGCATATTTTAGCAATAAAGTATTTTTAATTAAGTATACAATAGATATACTGCTGTTGTACACTTCATAGACTACAGTACGGTATAAACATAAAACATCAATGTGAGAGCACAGCATCAGCAGGCTGCCTTCTGCACGCCCCCTACTGGGGAGCCAGCCCTCAGCCAGGAATGGAACCAGCAACCTTTCAGTGCATGGGACAACACTCAGCTACCTGAGCCACACAGCCAGGGCTAAACAGAACTTTCATATGCACTAGAAACCAAAAATTCATGTCACTTGCTTTACTGCAACATTTGCTTTATTGCATAGGTCTGGAACCGAGGCCACAGTATCTCTGAGATAGGCCTGCACATCATTTTAAAGTTTCTATTATTTTAAGTCTAAAAATCTGTTTCAAGCCCAGCCGGGCGTGGCTCAGCGGTTGAGCGTCGACCTAGGATCCAGGTGATCGGGGTTCGATTCCTGGTCGGGGCACATGCCCGGGTTGCGGGCTGCAGCCGATCAATGACTCTCTCATCATTGATGTTTCTATCTCTCTCTCTCCCTCTCCTTTCTTCTCTCTGAAATCAATAAAGATATATTTAAAAAAATAAAAATAAAAATCTGTTTCAAAATGTTTTCTGATCCTGGTATCAAGATTAAAAAAATCATCCCTAGCCCATGATAATGTAACTATTCATCTGTATGCCTTCTGTACAACTAGATTTTATTTTTTTACAATTAAAATCTGAAAACACTGATGAAAATTTTGAATCTAGTTCTCGGGAAGTGATGATTTCATAACAGTAGACATGCTAGAGCCGCACCATCTCACTTTCAGCAGAGCAATGTCACTTGTACCAAGAGGGAAAACAGAGGCCTTCTGCAAGGCCTTTCTCAGGCTCACCCCTCGCCAGAAAGCATCACCATGCAGACACGTTTTGCCCCACTCGTTTCACATTCTACTCCTGTTTCCTTAGGGGCCCTGGATTTCCCTCTTATCCTCTACCTTCAATGGCTCCTCTCAAGGAACTGTTTGGGAATATTCTTGTCATTCCCCTTATAAAGATCTCTGCATCCTGTGTTTTCCACTAGTTACTGCCCAGCGTTTTCTTTCCTTTGAAGTCAGCTCCTCAGAGAAGCAGTCTATTCTGATGCTCTATCCCTTTGGGCTGGAGACAATCTGATTCATGCTTCCAGGACTCTCTTCCTGGGCTATACGTGTAAATCACTGAGGTCACCTTCCTTTAGAAAGTCACAAAAGGGTTCTTGGTTGCAAATCCCGAAGGGAGCTTTTTAGTCCTGACTTCACTTCTCTCTTTGGCATCTGTCACTGTTGACCATGCCTTTCCTAATGTTCTCCTCTTGACTCTATGACACAGCTTTCTCCAAGTTCTCCTCTTACCTCTCTGAGGGTGACTTTTCGGCCAGCTCACTCACTCTTCCTCACCTGCATATCTGTCCCATGTCCTCGGTCCTCACTGCTCTGTTCTTTGCCGACGCGAGAACTACAGGAGGGAAAGATCAGAATCAAGGAGCAGTAAGAATGCTGCTGCAACAGCTCAGACGAGTCTCTGANGGAAAGATCAGAATCAAGGAGCAGTAAGAATGCTGCTGCAACAGCTCAGATGAGTCTCTAAGAAAGTGGCAGTGGGAATGGGAAGGGGGATCAATGCGAGGACCTGAGGGACAAACACTTGCCAGACTATACCAGTGATTATATGTGGGGGCGGGAGACAGGGAGTTGCTCAAAATAATGCAAAGACATAAAACTTTAGCTGGCTGGGCTCCTCCTTAACCACGATGGAGGGGGGAGGACAAACAGCCTCACTGCTCTCAGAGACACCTGGGAAAACCAGAAAGTCTTTATCAGATTAGATGGAAAAGCATGTGCATGTGTGTGCACGTGTGCGTGTGTAAAAGCAAGAGGTACTCCTTAATGACAAAGAAGGGTGAAGGAAGTCCATGCGTAGGACAGCTGTGATATTCTGAGCTGTGGAATGGGAAACAGAGCTTTTCAAATGGTTCAACAGTAATAGTAAGTATAAATCAAATATATCTTGGATGATTCTATAGTAGTACAAATTATGTTAGGAGAAAGAAAATGCAAAAAACAATGTCAACAGGGGATATCAAAGAATGGAAGACAGTATCTCCTTTCTAGGAGGTCCAGGAGAGATACCAACACAAACCTTGAAAAACTGCAAACATTTCAAAATCAGGAAATAAGGAGAGTTGAACAGAGATTGCCATGGACTGAATTGTGCTCTCTTACAATATACAAGATGAAGCCTTAACCCCCAAAGTTAATATATGTGGAGATAGGGCCTTTATGGAGGTAATTAAGTTTAAATGAGGTCATACGGGTGGGGCTCTAATCTATAGGACCAGTGTCCTTATAGAGAAAGAGACACCAGAAATCTTTTTTTTCACACCTGCACCCAGGAAAGGCCACGTGAGGACACAAGAAGGCAGCACCTGTGACCCTGCACACCCTCTACTGGGGATCAAGCCCACAACCTGGACATGTGCCCTGACCGGGAATCAAACTAGAAACCTCTTGGTGCACAGGCAGACACCTAACCAACTGAGCCACACCAGCCAGAGAGTCTATTTTTTCATATGTCNACTAGAAACCTCTTGGTGCACAGGCAGACACCTAACCAACTGAGCCACACCAGCCAGAGACAGTCTATTTTTTCATATGTGTAATCCCTCATTGAGTATAATCTCCTCAGAGTCAAAGACTGTATTATCAACCATTATATAAAATTTCAAATATTCAGAGACTGGAACTGAAAACATACCTGGCAGATATGACAAAAACAAAAAGGGAAAGACCTGGGACGTGTGATTGCACCTTTTGAGAGATAGGAGAGAAAGCACAGAAAGAACAGTAGATGAGGAAGGGGAGGGCCTGTGACCTGGTGCTGGGTCTGCCACTCACTATCTGCAGGAACTTGAGACAAGTCACCGCCTCTCAGATCTTGTTTTTCCTCATGGAAAAGAGGGTTCGGAACACTGGTCTGCATCTCTCCCAGGGCAATGGTGAGAATCAAGTGTGATAATGTCAGTGGCTGTGCTCTGAAGCGGTGCAGGGCTAGATAGTTAATAGATTTTCTCTGTCACAAAGAAGGATTTTAAACTTACAGCAAAATAGTATCTTACCAAGGAGCCCGACAACACTAAATAGAGTTTAAAACACACACACACACACACACACACACACACACACACACACACACACACACACGTCTGGGAATCAGGAGACATAGGTCTTGGTCCAAGAGCTGACATAAACANAAGGAGCCCGACAACACTAAATAGAGTTTAAAACACACACACACACACACGCGCGCGCGCGCGCGCGTCTGGGAATCAGGAGACATAGGTCTTGGTCCAAGAGCTGACATAAACGTGCCCTGTGCAATTCGCACAAGGCTTTCCTATTAGCTTTCGTGACTATAAAACAGGACACACAGCAATAATTTCTAAGGCATCTTCTAGGTCATGATTCGGTGACTCTTTTAAATATCATTTAAAAATTATGCTTATCTCTTATCTGTAGATTGAAATATTATCTTGTGAAATAATGCATGCTTTCATTTGATAATTCCTGTAAATTAGACTATAATCTGAATCAGAATTTTTGAACCGGAAGACATTATTTTTCAAAATGTCAAAGCGTGTAACAGGGTTAAGTTGAACAAATATTTCCCTGAAGGAAACACAGCAGGGATTATCTGTGTGCACGCGTGTACATGAACTTGTGTGTTTTTGGGGGTGAATGGGAGGGCATGACAGACACCTAAGCTATTCAAGGCATGTTTAAGGCATGGGATAGTTTGCTAGTGATGTGTGAGTATAAAGATTAGACTTAAAATTGGGTACATACTGCTATGCAATCATAAAAACAGAAATATTTTGGGAATGTTCTGATGTAATTTTTTGGAAGTAAAAGCAGGGTTTTCTATTTATGTATTAAGTGATACAGCAAGTACCAAATAAAAACACAAAACTTCCTACAGATCTTTTAAAATAAATACCTCAAAATAAGTTGCTCAAATACATTAGGAATTTGTAGACAATATACAATGCTAGTGTTCTGGGTATTAGCTTTTTTTCTTTAGTGCCTGAAAAAAAGGGATTTCATATATTTTTTAATTTTTTACCACATAAAATACTTTTCAGTTAATATCATTTTAAAAGTTACTCAAACAAAATGACAAAATGGGTTCACAAAAAAAAAATTTAGTGTGATATTTNTAATATCATTTTAAAAGTTACTCAAACAAAATGACAAAATGGGTTCACAAAAAAAAAAATTTAGTGTGATAATTTAATTTCTTACAACTTTTCATATACTTCCTCAACATCTAACCATTAAAATATTCTCCTCAAACTAGCTAAACTCTTTTAAAAATCAATGATCTGGACTTTAACTCAGAGTGTGATATTCTGAAAAGGAAGATGAGAAATTGTCCTTAATTNCTTACAACTTTTCATATACTTCCTCAACATCTAACCATTAAAATATTCTCAAAACTAGCTAAACTCTTTTAAAAATCAATGATCTGGAATTTAACTCAGAGTGTGATATTCTGAAAAGGAAGATGAGAAATTGTTCTTAATAAAAAAAACCCCCAATCACCCAACTATTTATCACTGCAAATTATTTAGGAAGAGAAGTTGCTTACTGTGTCATACATTCTGAGCCCCGTCTGAAATCCTGAGACTTGTCCTTGTTGACTGACTGTTATGAAAGAAGAAGAAAATACACAGAAGTCAACAATCAGAGAAGACAACATAGGTCATACATGCTGAAAACCCACCAACCTGCTCAATGAGGAGAGAGCATGCCCGTTCTGAGCATAACTAAACCAACAGTTCTCCAGACTGTCTAAGCACTCTGGAAAGAAAGTCAGCTTTCAGGTGTGTGGCAAAAAGAGTCATACTTGATCAGCCAAAATTAACCTAGTAATACTATACTGTGTATTACTTAAGTTTTAAGTGTACCTTTTGGCATTGCATCTTGACTTTGTAATCTTTTCAGTATAGTCTTTATTTTCACAGTATACTCACTGAACTATATGTAAAATACTGAATCTGAGAGCTCTTTAAACATCCTACAAAATTCGTTCTGAGTACTTGTTTTATTAATGGCACCTCTGCGAGTAAAACAAATACATAAGTGCTCTCAGTTGTGTAGAATTATACCAAGTGTTAGATGGTTCCTCTAGAATATGAGTATTAACTCCAAATGCAAGTAAACTGTGGGAAAACGGTTTGATATGAGACAGTTTTTTTTGTAAATCAATGTCAATGTTACCATAAAATAGACTGCAAATGTTTTCTATATAAAATGACATGTTGTGAGAAGAATTCATTTAAAATTCACATAAAAATGTAAATTGTTACTATGTTAATGTTTTGACTTACATACAAATTAGATTATATACAAAGAGATATAAGATTAAATTATATACAAAGAGATAAAAGAGATATACCATATCTACTTATTTAAATAAAAAATTCAGAAAACAAAAACCAAAATGAAAGGAGTACAACCTCTCTTTCTGTCTTAACTTGTTTGAGTAAATAACTGCTTTCCCAGTTTTATCTCCACTGAAGCTTGTTTTGCCTTTTCAGATTTCCTCATTCACAATGACATTTCTCTCAGATCATTCTTTAGCAAGAGTGGATACTATCTTTAAACAAGTATTACTCTTCTTATCAAAAAGATTTCAAAAGGATATTGTGCTTTTTTGGACCATAATTATGCCATATCGCTGCTAGCGGTATAGCATTAAATCAAGCATATAATAAAAACAAGAATTAAAGAAGCAGCAGCTGAGTGGTGAAAGACTGAAGTAAGTGACGCAATTTCATAGAACAACAAAAGAACCAATAACAAACACCTTGATTTTTCTTTACCAGCAAAGATGATCTGGCCCAGTTAAAATGTGTTTGGGGGAAAAAGTACAAAAATATGGAAAATTCAAATTCAAGGAGTAGTTCACATTGCAGAATTGTTTTACCTGCCTTCAACCCAGTAGAGCAAGAAGCTAAGAAAATCATCAAAACCTAGCTCAAAAAGCATCAATTATAACGGCATTTCTTCAGTTTTTTTCCAGACTTAGGAAATAAATTCCAAACAGCCATCGAATTAAAGATGCTTTATTCTTTACATGGTCTAAGTATTCTATCTCTTTGCCCACGGCAAGACAAGCATCTTACCATAAATATACATATATATTTGAAACTTTTATAGAACTACTAGATTAAAAAAAACTACTTAACATAATGGCTCTAATTAGAATTTGAACTGCTCCAGAGGCTGAGAAGAGGGAAGTCCGACTAAATATACATCACTAAGACAACGTGACTTTTAATTGCTGTTGCGACCTTGACACGAGTATAGTAGTAGTCTGTTCACGTGGAATTGATGCTGTGATGCTCAGAAAGTCTGTCTTAGGAAGGTTAGACCCAGTCCCTGCCATCTTCCTACTGTATTATTGCATTACTGTGCCTGGCATGTCCAAAGGTACACGAGGCAAGGGTGGCTTAACTTGTGTTCAAATCCTATGAAACCCAAATTAGTAGGGTATCCACATTATAAAGTTTTACCACTTATTTGTAAAAGGACACTGATTTAATTAGGACCAGTACTTCACTTCTAAACACCTTTACTCACTCATTCCTTGGGCTCAGCAGCGGCAGCCATATGGGTAGCTACTCATGGAGGCGGAGGGGGGAGGGGGAAGAAGGTGTTTCTGTGAGCGGTTTAGTTTTATCTTCAGACAAAAAAAGCCCCCAAGGCTACAATACCATCAGCCCATGAGCAACCCCCACCCCCATCAACAAGGCCAAGGAGCATGCCTGCCCTTCTTTCCCTCCTGTTGGCACACACCTCTCGGACGGCAGTTTCGTGGCTTCGTTTCCTCTCCGTGGACACCCCTGATTTGGAGAGGGGGGGATGGAGAGAGGAAGATGAACAAAGCTAGAGACGAATAAAGGGCCAGAATCTAGAGACTCCTGCTTCCCAAAGCCTCATGCCTTCTTACGGATGCCTTTAAATTTATATGCCTTGAGACTTAAACAGGAAAAGAACGATTAGTGGAATGAGTTTAAGTGCTGCTACTGGTTACATGGAGATCAGCCAAGAAGAAAACAACTCATAAATAGCTTTGTAAAAGAGAAATGGGCCATGCAAACAACTCACCCAAATATTTCTTATAAACTTGAAGAATGAATGTAAAATTAGGTGAGTGTTCAACTAATGTTTGCTGTAACTAGCATGCCAGCTTTAAATAAGGCACATTTGATATGGTATAGCTCTATTTTTACATGCTGTTGATATAATCCCGATATCTACCTTTTCCACATAATTCATATCCATAATTTGTTTATATCCATTTTGTAGGAATTTTTGAGAGAGAGAGAGAGAGAGAACAACAATCAGGGCTGGTGGTTCAATTCTGGCCTTGGTTCTGTCATTAAGCCTCTATGTGGCAGGAGTAGCCCTTTCTCTTAGGAGTCAGTTTTTCACTTGACAATGGACAGCAAGGGCTCGAAATGAAAGCATGAACTATGACAGCACCATTCTCATATTTTACAGATGAGGAAATGGAGGCCCAGAGTCACCCAGGTCATAGAAGTAGCCTGAAGGTTACCATCGTGTCTTTCAAAATGATTTAACAGCACAACAAATTTTCAGTACAATTTTGTCTGAAAGCCTCACATATAAACACTTAAAGGTAGGGGCACACGAGGTGAAGCGAGGTTGGGGACCTGGAAACCCTGCCCCCAGCCCACCCCCAGACCGAGGAACAGGGCTCGACAGAGGAGTGCTCACACCTGGGCAGGACAAGTTCCTCAGGTTTCCTCTATTGCTAAATTCTGTTTCCCAGAGCACAATCTTAAGATTTTAAATAGCTATGTAAGTTTGAGTTGCTTCTTCTATTTTAGAATTTCTTCTATGTGAGCTGCACTGATACTAAACCCTCCCATTATAACGCTTTTCCTTACGGGTAACATGTTCCTCTACAGTGAGATGTAGTTTCTACAAATATACTAAAAGCGAAGGCCTTCATCGTGACTCATGATTTGTAGTTCTGGATACTAACTGTGCCAGTTAACCAACGCATACTGTGGACCACCACTCTACCGGCGAGGCGCTGTGTCAGACACCCAGGGATACAGAGCCGAGTGGGCTCCAGGAGCTGATACTTGAAAGGGGACAAGCATGGGTACAACTAATGGGGCAATATGTAGCCTTCATGATCTCGCAGGAATGTTTTTCTATAGTTAACTTGGGAATAAGGCTGCTTTCTAGTCAATGACTCTGAAGCTGGCAGGACAGGGCAGAGAGCATTTTTTCACAAAGGAGATACTGACCTTGGAGGCCTATCAAACATTCTATCTCCTCTGTGGGAGATACACAAGTGTGTAAGAGGCTCCCCACACCCACAGTAATGGGGAAGCAGAAATAGGGGTACAAAGAATGAAAAGACTCATCTAATACAAAGAAGTTCAGTAAAAGAGTGATAAAAGCAAATCTGGTGCAATATGTTGAAAGAGATCTTTCGTTGTATGCACGGTACGTGTGGATAAGAGAGACTTTTAAATAAAAAAGGTCCTTCCTTTTTATGTTCTTCTCCTCAAAAAAGGTTCTTCTCCTCAACTAAAGGAGAACCACATTAGAGCTAGAGGCCATTATGACAATGTCACTGTGACTGCCAAGTGATAACGAGACTATTAGCATACAGTCCATTTTCAATGGTTTATAGAAAGAATAGCATACAGTTAATTTATCAAGCAAAGGAAATAAATGGTAGTCAGAAACTATATTTGATTAAGAGACATTTTTATATAAACTCATCATATTGAGCCTTGGACAGCTGGCTGGATACATCTCAATGTGAAATTGTTGTTTTTAAGTAGGGTCGTCTATAATTGCAACTACTACTTACATATTTACCTGTAATGAAAAAATGAAAGCAAAATTTCATTAACAGGATCTTACAATAAGAAAAATGGTTATTTAAGGAAAAACACATACACACACACAAAATTATATACTTTTAAAAACTGAAATAGAATAGTTCTCAATGGGGTGTGTGTGAGAGAGAGAGAAGGAAAGAGAGAGAGGGAGAGATATTTCGACTCCCAGGGAGAATTTGGCCATGTATGGAGGACACTTTTGATTGTTATAACGGGAGGGGTTACTGCTTCTGGCATCTAGTGGGTAGGGAACTAGGATGCTGCAAAACATCCTACAACGCACAACACATTCCCCTGAAACAAAGAATTATCTAGCCCCAAATGCCAACAGTGCCAAGGCTGAGAAACCCTGGAGTACTTGACGGAACAAGAGGACAGCAGAGTTAGGGTATCCGAGGACTTTTGAAAAAAGGTCATGCTGATTGTCAAGTCAGAAGACAAGGCGACTGATAAGCATCAGTTCTGCCACTATCTAAAGGACAATTTACAAGTAGGAATGATTGGCTGGAAGTTCTCCTAATAACATCTTGCACATTTGAGATCTGTGATAGACTATGAGAGGATGTTACTCACATTTAGATTAACCTTTGAGAATATAATCACGAAGAGCAAATGCTGTATCATTCTATCAAACAACCCTTACGGTCGCCGTCAGAGAGAGCAGTACTGGGCCAAGGAGAACATTGTTTTGACACAGCACATTACTTATTTTATACTTTTTGTACATGCATTATTCAAAGATTAAAATCT